TGATGTATTCCTTGTTGAATCATTCAAAAAAAAACAAGACTAATGTTTCTCTATTCTCTCTCTCCAGCATCAAAATGGAACACGAAATTCCTAAGGGTGCGTTTAGACGGATGCCAAAACTCTGCAATCGCACACACAACCCCATTACAAACAAGGATACTCCTTTGCACCATTATTTACGAGGAAAAACAATGGTGTTGTCAAATTACTCAAATACATTACAGATTTTTAGCCGTCAACATGTAGCTTGGATTCAAGACCAATGCATGACAAGGAAACTGAGAAGCTCAGAGTGAATAATCCAAAAACACTAAAAATCGCCACATTTACAAAGCTGAGGTAATCTAGCAAGAAAAATAAACAAAGAAAGTACCATCCAAAAAGCAACAAGCAGAGGCGTCCCTCATTCACTCCAATACTTCTCATCACCATCCTTGTCATCTCCACGCTCATCATCAGAGCTCTCTTCCATCAAGCTCGTCTTAAATATCAGCACATCCTCCACCGCGACACTTCTAAATAACCCCACATCTGTAGCACCAGACACCATGCTATATCCACGTGACGTAGATCCAGGGCCGGATCATGCGGCATCGCAAACCCAGCTAAGTAAGCTCCGCCGCCACCGCCATTGCTGTCCTTCTGCTCTCGAGCACTGCTTTCTCAGCCGCCCTCATCGCTTCTCTCACCTTCTTGTTACCAGGGTCCCCACAAGTACCCCAAGCTAGCACTAAGGTCCAACGGACCCATCTGAATGCAGTCAACCCCATCAACGGCCGCGATCTCACCAGCCTTCTTCACCCCTTTCTCCGATTCAATTTGACACATGATCAGCAGGTCGTCCTGGTAATTATTCAAATACCCTTCATCGATCCCGTACCCTGATGCCCTCACAGTCGGGTGGGCGGAGCCGCGAATTCCCGCGGGCGGGAACCGGCAATACGAAACCGCTTCCTTAGCGTCTTTCGCGCTCTCAATCATTGGGAACATGATCCCCTGTGGACCTAGATCGAGAGCCTTCTTAGTCCAGGTGGGGCAAGTTTCGGGAACCCGGAGAATCGCGGCGGTTCCGGCGGCAGCGAGTGCATGGAGGCAGGGCAGCGCATCAGAGATGCCACCGTGACCGTGTTCCATATCGACAACAACAAAATCGTATCCGGCGAGACCTGCGATCTCGGCAATGGTGGGAGAGAAGGTGAGGAGGAAGAGGCCATAAAGGGATTCGCCACTTTGGAGGCGAGATTTGAGGTTCTTAGGAGATGAGAGGGGGTAGTTGGATGTGAGAGAGGAGGAGGAAGCGGTGCCATCCGCTAAGGACTTGGGAATGGGCGAAACACTGGATCTCGTGGAGATGGAGATGGGTTTGGACAGTGGAGAGGGAAGGAAGAAGGCGACGACGATGTGAGGGGCGTGAATTTGAATTTGGAGGGTGCGAGCAATTGAGGGTTTCTGAGAATGGAGGAGAGGGATGAGCTCGTCGATATAGTTGCGGCCATATCCATTTTCTCCCTGTCTCGGAAGAGCCTGCTCAGTCTGTGAAGCTCACTGTAGAGTATTGACGAACGACGGCTGAGGCGGAGCAGTTGAAGAGGCATCATTCCCTGCATTAGGATGAGAACTTAAATTTTGGTCATATATTCTTTATATTGGAAATTCATTCACATTTTTAACTTTCGAAAAAGTTCATTGTTACTAAAATAAATTGGTATAAAACATAAAATATAAAGGAAAACTTGGAATTTTGCAAGTCTGTTTTTAACTTTAATTTTAATTTTTAGCATGATGATTGACGATGAATTATAGCAATTATTTGATTATTATTACTCACTCTGTTTTTGTTGTGGTGTGGGATATGTTTCTCTAATCAATACATTTTTAATTAACATTATGAATGAGTATGAGAAAAAGTATGAGATGACTGGGGAAAAAATTATAAATGACAATGAAAAAATGAAATATTAAATTATCACTTTAATTTTTCTTTTAACAATTATTTTGTTATATATCTAAGCATGGTTGGCTCCATATAAATTCACAATATGAGATGATCGGGGAAAAAATTATAAATGACAATGAAAAAATGAAATATTAAATTATCACTTTAATTTTTCTTTTAACAATTATTTTGTTATATATCTGAGCATGGTTGGCTGTCACAATATAATTTTAAACACCCACACATATGAAAACGTCAATGTCGAGTTTAAATCTCGAACATTAACCAGCTGTTACTCGGATAACTTAATGACTAAATCTCGTTTGATTTTTTTTTTTTGCCTGAAATCTCGTTTGATTCAACTTAACAGCCATTAAGTGCATTACTATGATCACTTGGCCATGAATGAAGGCACAGATATGATAATTTCAGCAGAGCGTAACGTGTCTAGATTCACTCGTTTGATTGACATTTTGCGTGGCGAAGATCTAGAATGAGCAATTACGAGTCCTGGGGTAAGATGAATAACAAGAATTCAATTAATTTCCCAGCATTATTTACACAAAGAATTAAGATCCTTTAACCATATCTGAAAAAAGAAAAGGAAAAAAGAATCAATTGTTATTAAGTTAATCCTCTCCAATCCATAGCTAATCCCTCTCATTATTTACACTCTATCTCATATATTTCTACATCACAGACAAGAGAAAAGAAGGAATAACAAAACCAACATTAGCCCCAATCTCCCTCTCCAGGGAGAGTAAGCCTAAGCCTCATGCATGGGACGTTTTCCACGAGGGTCAATTTCCCGAGCGCTGGAGCTTGTTCCCGGTGTTGTTGCGATGGTGGTATAGTTACTGCTTGAGTCAGAAGTCCGAGAATCAGAGTCAGCACCTGAAGTACCAGCTGCGGTAGAAAATGTGGAGCGCCTGCGAGGTCTTCTGTATCTGGAACCAGGCGCTCCTGGTCTAGTCGGCTCATCCATGTGGCCCGGCTTCTTTGACAGCATCACCACCACGCGCCGCATGCTTGGCCGGATATGTGGATCCCCTTGAACGCATAGCAGACCCAGTTGTATGCACATTGCTACTTGATCTTCTGCTGAACCTGCTATTGCAGGGTCAACCATTTCTAAGCTCCTCCCTTTCTTGTAAAGCTTGTATGCCTGAACAAAGGCAACAACACATTATTTCTTAGATATGTCTGATATGGAAACTTCATTCACAGCTCTTCCTTCACACATGAACACAATACTTAGTTCATTTCTTTCCCAAATTAGGATGCTAATAATTTCATCTATTATCATATTAAAATATTTTTCAGGATTTTTTTTTCCGGGGCAGAACAAACGAGCAAAAGGCAAATCCTTTCAGCAACTAAAAAAGTTAATTTTCTTTATTATCGTGTAAACTGTAAAACCTGACAACTAGGATTATTGGAATAACTTTTTTGCCCGGGAGGGTGTAGGGCAGATAAGTTTCTTGGAGGCTTCTCAAGATGCGATTAATCTGGCTGTTGAATTTTCTCTACCCAAAGGCTTTGATGGTAGCAAAGTCATAAACGCTATGCACGCATGAACGCGGGACGAATTAATTAAGTGGGGTTTGGATTTTGGGGCTTATATCCTTTTCAGTGCTGGTGAACGAATGTCACGCGGTTGTGACCCACCATGAGCATAAATTAATCAAACAAAAAAAGAAAAAGGTTATTGGAAAACCGGAAAGGTCAAAGAGCCTACACCTAAAACCTCATAAAGAAGCCAAGACATTGGATAAATCAATCTTACCCAATCAAGGAGATTATGTGCATCCATCTCAGGGCTAAACATTGAGTTTCTTTGGCCACTTATCAGCTCCAGAACCAAAACCCCATAGCTAAACACATCTGCCTTCACTGATAAATGCCCATGCATCACATACTCTGGAGCCATATATCCACTGTATATTCACAATTTTACAAGACACAAATCTACTTTATTCACATGACCATGCTAACTTCATTTTTAAAAGAGAGAATGACAAATATGGACCTGATAACAAAGTTAATGTCAGATTGGAACTTCTCAAAAGCTGTCAGTTCTGAAATATGAGACACTGAGTACTAAAATTTGAGAATTTAAGTTGTTATGAGGTCCCGGTTTGATGTTAACCTTTTCATGAGGTCTTAAATTGTCATTCAACCTTTTTTAAGATAGTTGACTAATCAATAGATATTTTGATACTATTCTTAAATTGTCAACAATGAATCTTGGATTTGCTGCTTATTTTTCAAAGTTTGGTGGGGTCCTATAACCAAAATTTGTTTCCATCAAGCAATATCTAGGGAAGAGGTCAAAGTTGAAAAGCATACTTGGTGCCAGCCACCCGTGTATTGACGTGAGTTTGATCCTCAGGGAAGAGACGAGCCATGCCAAAGTCTGCAATCTTGGGCATCCATTTGTCATCGAGCAAGATATTACTGGCCTTGATGTCTCGGTGGATGATGCAGCTGTGCGAGTCTTCATGAAGATAGAGTAAGCCTCTTGCTATGCCTGTGATTATGTCCAACCTCCTTTTCCAATCCAGCTGCTCTTTTCTGTGAGATTCTGCAATTAACAAAAAAAAAAAAAAGCACGTTTTCTATCAAACTCTCTGTCTAACAGCGGCACAAAAGAATACGGATAGCACTAAATGTTGACTTGACAGGCATAGACTCTGCAGGCCAATGGTACAGAGGCAAGGTCCAACAATAGCAAGATAACACTTCACAAATTTTATGCCATTAGCCCTTGCCCTTGTGCCTAAAAGAAACTTTCTTTAAATATGTTCCTTGCACCAAGTACTTGTATGAGAAAATAAAAATTTCTTGGAATCAGTGCATCCCTTCAATTGCGTGGAACTCATAAACTAGTTTATACTGACTCCTTACACGAGCAACTGTTACATTATACTTCTCCGATCCTAAAGATAAGATCCCTATACTAGTGTGTATAAGGTCTTATATCAAGGATCGGAGGAGTATTACATATTCTTGACAACTCCCAACAACAGATAGGGATATCTACCAAGCTTTTTTATATCATCCATCTAACACAAAATTTTGAGATCAATCAATCACAATCTTTCTCAGCGTCATTCCCATTGTAAATTATAGCTTAACCGGATTGAGTGCGGGGAGGATTTTTTTTTTTTAAAAATCATCCTGTTTTCTTCACAGAAATTGGAAAACCAAATTTAATCTTAGTGGTTAGCCAACAGCAACATATGAATTTTTGGGAGAAACACACACACACACACACACACACAGAGATTGAAGGGCTTTTTCTTCTAATTGAATCATGATGGATGTGCAAAGACCAGTCAAAAGGGGTGTTTGATTTAGCACAATTTTATCTACGCAATTAATGGATCCATTGAGGAATTCTATTGATGCAAAGTCAATTTCTTAACTCTTAATCTTAAGTGCAGCCGCTTTGGGAGTTCCCAGGAAATAATTTATTCAAAGAGTGCAGAAAGGAAAAGAAGATGGATAGGAGGATGGATGGCCTAAGGTTTACGGGGTTGTTACTGATAACGAAATTGGACATTAAAATTCCAGGTGTCTGCGATAAAAAATACCGCTTTTTGAGTCTATGGGAAAAGCCATGGAAAAGAGGAATTAGTTCGACCCTAATAGAGATTTCAAACGTAAATACCAAATCGCCAGTCAGCCTGCCTAACTGAAAACGGGTTTAAGGAAAACAACCCATTCACTTCATCGGTGGTAGAATTTGGACCCAGAGGTTAGCTTAAGCAATAAGCAGGAATTAAATTTAACTTCTCTCAATTGAGGAGGTATAGAAAAAGAAAACGAGAAAGAAAGATAATATGAGAAAAATTCTACAAAAAAGAATACCAGGTTAAATATCTGTGGGCCAAATAACGTTTTACATTTCAAAATCTGAGATAAGAAATGCAAGTTCTGTATTAATTTTCAAAATAAATATCATCTCAGCCGATATCATTCATCTATGATTATTGAACAGAAGAGGAACAGAAAAACTTACTGAATAGAAGTTTGTCAAGGCTCTCATGAGGAACATACTCATACACAAGTAGCTTCTCTGTGCCATGGGCACAATAACCCAACAAATTCACCACATTCCGGTGCTGCACACGAGCCAACAACTTGGCCTCATTCATGAACTCTTTGTTCCCTTGATTTGAGCTTTGCGATAACTTCTTTACCGCAATCTCTCTTCCATCGTCCAACTTCCCCTGCAAGTGAAAAAGGGAAAGAAAACAAAAGAAGAGAAAATCAACAGCAGTTGGAGTAGGTCTAAGGATCTCGGTTTACCATGAAAAAGCACCCCCTCCCCCGGGGAACAAAAAATCTCATTTTCTGTGGGACATTTTGCAAAACATTGAAGCTTCAGGAATTGATCAGCGAATTCCTTGCATCCAATCTTGATTGGGCGGAATAAAACTTTCCAAAATTTCAAAATCGTCCAACCCCTCTTAGAGTTTTATAAACATGAAAGATTGAATCTTCCTCAACCATTGCAAGAAGAATAAAGAATTCTTCCCGCTCAATTTTCTCTGTCCAGCTTTACCTAGCAACCAAGCATAAACAATTGGGGAAATCCATCCTGGATCGTACCTTGTAGACGGGTCCAAAACCTCCCTCACCAAGCTTGTGATGAGAATGAAAATTTTTTGTAGCAGCAAGTAAGGTTTCATAGGTAAAGATCTTTTGTTCCTGGGCAGCAATTCTCTCTAACTCTTCTTCGTTGCCTCCTTCTGATCAAACACAACCGAACAAAAGCAGTGAGGCCATCCGAATCAAATACCTAACGACCACAAGGTGCAATGAAACCAAAAGAGAAGGAATCAGATTATATTCTTCACCTTTACTAGAACCGAGTCTGAAGGGTTTAATCAGATTATGCAGAAAACTGAGAGATTTGGTCATGTTGCTTTTGCTTCCCAAAACCAGCCCATGGAACAAAAAACAGAGGAACCCCCCTAATGAGAGTAGTAATCACCGTGCGTTCTGCAATTGATTTGCCGGGGGAAAATGAGAACTGGGGTAGAGGACGGGAAAATTGGATACTATGAAGAAGAAGAAGAGAGATGAAGAGAGATTGTAGAGTAAGAGAACATAACAAAAAAAATGTGGAAAATATGAAAATGGAAGCGTGTTTAGTGACCCAGGGACGCCTGCTTGACTTGGTGCTGATGCTTGCCTTTATGCCACGGGGCCGCAGAACGGGTGGAAACTAGAAGAAAAGTCAAGGCTCACAATTCACTTCACATTAATCCCCCCGAGTAAAGAGAGAACAGCCTGTTACTTTTCCCGTCACTACCAGATGCCGCCAAACTTCGTCGTTGTCCCCCATGAAAGCTCCTTCTCGTCAACTCGTCCCTGTTTAGAATGCTCATCACAGGACCCGCGAGCCTTAAATCTTCTTTGGTTCGTTTCTTCTTTTTTGTTAATTGTGTTCCTCTCCATGCTTTGCATCGTGTTATAAATTTGTTGTATCGTTCAAAATTCATACCATGTTCATTCCTTACGTTAAAAGTAATTAATTTTTACATATGTTAATAAAATTAGTTAAGTTAATTATTTATAATAAATATAAATATATATTGTCTTTTTTAAAAATATTTTTATTAATTATATGTATTAAAAATATTGTTTGAAAATTCTTTAATATGTGTCATCACCACATGGATTACTTGGAAACAAAATAAATAAATATTAAATGTAAAATAAATTAAAATTTTATATTTAAAACCAAAATAAACATTCAACTAACTTTTTTATTAACAATAAAAATAGTACTACTCTGGTCTTAAATACTTTTTGTAGTATAAAGCATTTAATTAAAAGTATAATACTTTTCTCGTCCTAAATATAAGATACCTCTCTTCCTAAATATAAGATCCTGGATCTTATATTTAGGATGGGAGAAGTATTATACTTTTAATTAAATGTTAATTATTTGTATTGGTCATGTGTTCGCTCGGATTCGTTTGAGTGACCCAATGTTGAGAGGCAGCAAACTCTCCTGGTCTATATATTCTTTTAACTCCGTAAGGTGAAAACTTAATTAAAAATTTCGATGTTATGATCCATACGTAAAATTTTTTTTAATGCAATCCCTATTAAGAATAAATGGTGTTGGGTTGAGTTGTTATTTTACGGAACCATTAAGTATTAACCTTATTAGCTGGCCATTCCACTATCTTCCAATATTTTTCTCCATAACTTTTTGACCGCTAGCAAAGCCAATCAAACTATTTCAGTCCAAAAACAAAACAAAAAAAACCAATCAAACTATATTATTCCTCCTATCTTTAATATAAGACTCAATTAACTAATTTGATTAAATTAAAAAAGTTATGTAAGTTAGTTAATTATAAGAAATGTGATACGTTTTTCTTAAAATACCATAATCATCTTTCTTAATACCCCATCTTTCTCTTCTACTTGATTATAATTGAGAGAGTATCTATAGGGGTAATTTAAAAAAAATTGATAAATATGACAAATGTGTCTTATATTTAGTACCAAAACCAACTCAACAATTAGGTCCTATATTAAAGACCAGACGAGTATCATTTATTAGCACAGTCAAAACCATTTCCAAAGCAATTTAGCAACTTTATGATTTAAAGGACCTACTTAAAACCATCTTGGCATATTTCAACATTAAAAGTTAAATTAATTGGCAAAATATATATATATATATATATATATAAAGAATTTTATTGGCATAACAGATAATTGTCTTAAGATGGCCTTTCATTTAGGCTATTGTTGATCAGCTTTCCTTTCCTTTTTTTTTTTTTTTTTTAATAGTGAATGCCAATGAGCAAGACGATGAGAAGACATTTAAAAAAAAAAAGAGTTTTAATATGACATTCAGTGCCTTGCCTGCTTGGCCACTGCTAAATAAGTTAAGCTTAATATCTTCGTCAAATCCCACTAACAGTATTTTAAAAATTAATTGAAAAATTTGGTCCGTCTCTCTCATTTGACTGAGTTTGTACAACGAAGCAAGGCTTCCAGGCCCTTCCTTCTCACGCCATATGAAATGTCAAACCAAACAACACAGCGCCATCTGCAATTTTTTCCGCAGTATTTTCTGGACTCACCGCTGCGGGTTGCCGGGTTGGTGGCCTATGTGATTTACTCCATTCCATTTCATGCAATCATAGAAAAATAATGATTGAATTTCAAAAAAAAATGACTCATATTTGCTACTCTTATAATAAGTTTGACAAGTCAAAATCTGTTAAAACCACTTATCTATTATTTTTATGTTATTCTCCTTTTTATATATGGCCATTTAATTGTATCAGAGCATCATTAACCAACAAAAAAACCAGAAAAAGGGTTAAGTGTTTGATCCTCCCGTTCAAGGCCCAATTAGGAATAACCCTCCCGATCACATTTTACATATCTATATAGATGGACTCGAATTTGAGAACCCGTGCTTACGATTATGTTCATGTTTGTTGTGCCATAAATTAAGTGGGCCAGGCCCATATAGACACGAACGGGTGAGTCCACAACAGTCACAAGCAGAATGGGCCGATACGGTGACCCAAAGCCCAAAGGGATATTCATTTTGCCCCGACGGGAGAGGAGACGTCAACTCAGACATACAAGCGCGCAAACTCCAATGAAAGAACTTGCAGAGAAAACCTCCCCTGCTCAAGACCCTGCGATCACATCCCACTTTCGCATAACTTGGTTTCTTCTTTGAATCGATGGCCCTCACTGGTTGCTGGCCCATGTAATTTCCTTCATTTTACTTAAAATATCTGCTTGTAGTCTTGACCAATATTGTGTTCATGTTTCATTTCAAACCCAGTCCAAGAATGTTAGCTCACTACTAAGATCCTGTCTACCGGAAGTAACTACAAACGAAATCTTATAATTAGGACCGGAGGTAGTATTTTCGACGGCGATATATGTTTCTGGGAAAGTGTTCTCCTTGAAGGAACCTGTTGTTTTCACTTCCACCGCATTCAAGAAAAAAACATGCAAGTATATGAACCTGTTGTTTTCTGCCTACCCAAAAAATTGTTTTCTTCTTGAAGAAAAATCAATTGTGAAAGTAATATTTGGCTCTGATCTCAATTTTTTAGTGCTCTGCAACATCCATCCAAATCAAAAGCCACAGTGCCCAGATTACTCCCAAATAACAAAAACAAACACTCACTTTTTTATATAATTACAAAAATGAATACATGTAGTATACAAGTGACTCAGCTCAATTTTCCCTCTCCGAAATAAAAACAAACTCTCATATGATGCAATAATGCAAAAGATGAGACAAAGGGACAAGAAAGAGGCTCCTTACCTCTCCTTTTTCCCTGCTCCCCAAAAAAAGATTTAAAAGTTGACAAAACTAGTGGGTCCTAATTCTGTCCGTCTAATAAACTAATGCCCTATTTACCTGGCACAGCAACATTTTGTTGGATCAATCCAGCTCTGCAGAGCCAGGCCTTTCCTCACAAAATACAATTTGACAGGGTGGCTTTTCCTCATTAGCCTTCACACACATACTCTCATCATCCTTCTTTCCCCTAGAAGGTGATGATGGACACAACCAAAGAGATTCTCAATCTCTTCAGTAGACCCCACCTACCAAAGAATAAGTGTACCAAGTGAAATTATAAATAAATACATAAGCATGCAGAGGTCAGTTTGAGTTTCACTAAAAATGATGAACCTGACATGCCTATATATTTGTTCATAATTTACTCAGGTTACTTATCTTTAGCAGGTTGAGACTACCTAAAGTTCTCGACGCAACCCATAAAAATTTGGGTTTACATGGACAATAAAACGAGGATTCAAAATAGAACAGAAAATGGCAGGCTCCATTTTGTTGTCCACCATGATTCAAACAGACCATACCCGGATTCTCCCTTCTCCATCAGGGAAGAACTTCCGCTGGCATTTTTTTAATGATAAAAATGAACTGATGCTTTGGTGTTCTGTATGATGCATGCCTGATTTGCAACTTGCGGATCAACTCCAACGTGGCAAATCTGCATTTAACAAGGGCTTAATAAATCAACAAGTTCTGTCCCAATAAATAATCAAGAGAAAAATGGCGTTCCAATGAAAAGGAAGATTAGGAATTTAACAAGGGCCTAATAAATCAACAAGTTCTGTCCCAATAAATAATCAAGAGAAAAATGGCGTTCCAATGAAAAGGAAGATTAGGAATTTAACAAGGGCCTAATAAATCAACAAGTTCTGTCCCAATAAATAATCAAGAGAAAAATGGCGTTCCAATGAAAAGGAAGATTAGGAATTTTACCTCTTTTTAATGTAGTGGCTTAGCTGATAATAAACTTCTTTAGGAAGTAAGATCGCTCATATTCCTGACTCTGACTTCGACATTTCTCAGATCACGAAGATGTTGTAAAATTTCTTGGAGAAGGTCTAGGCCTTTGTCCCCTTTTCTCAAGGAGCTCATACAGTGCTTAAGGAACTCTCTGTCTGCTTCAAGTGCTTGGAGTCTCTCGTAAACATTATCGATCTCTTCTACTACAAGTTTCTCCTCCTCCAATTCAGCCTTTTCTGCTGAACCATTTTGCAAGGAATCAAAATGCAGTCCGTTCTCCTCACCATGAAACACCCCATCTTCGGCTTCTGCATCAACAATTGCATCAAAAAGTGGAAGAAGTCTCTTGGCTTTTGGAACCACGATTTTCTTCCCTTGATGATGCTTACCATTGATTTCCTCTGCATGACCATTTGCAAATCCATTTACCTGATCTCTATAATCGTCATAATCATGGAATCCATTCCCATTCTCAACACAAAGATGTTCTGTGGATTTGATATCATCAGAATCATGTTCTTCTTCGTAATTCAACTTCACCAGCTTTTCTTCCAATACTTTCAGCTGCTCTAGAATTGATACCCTCTCTTCCTCAAAGCTTGACAATGATTCTTCCAAGTATAGAACACCATCCACTGGGGTGTTTTTGTTGCTGCTGATTTCTTGATAGTTGTAGAAGCCGTTTTCTTCCTTTGCTTCATGATTAAGATCAATAGATAGTCCATCACTCTCTCCTGCATTGCTACAACAAGGAGATGAAGTTCTGCTTCTTATTGTGCAATCCCTTCTTGACATCATAGTTTTCTCTCTAATTTCGT